GCTCACCGATGCCCGGACGGTGCGGGGTCCAGAGAACACTTCAAAGCYTCAGCGCAATGTACGGCGAGCCTGGCGGGGCGGCGCCTTATAAACGCCCGCGCCTCATCCCGCCCATCTCATGAATATGCAGATGAACCCCACTGCAAGGCGGGGCGACACGTCACCAAAGCGCTGCCGCCGCTGCACCACCCGATTGGGCGGGATGTYATTAATATTAATGAACCGCGGCGGAGGGCGAGGGGAGGGGCGCGCAAACAAAACCACAGCGTGGCCACGCCYCCTCCACCCACGTGGGGGCGTGGCGCGGAGGACGGCGCTCATTGGTTGCCCGTGAGGAGGCGGGCGGGAGCGCCCCTGTGAGAGGGAAGGAAGTGGAGGCCGCTGATTGGCTGGGGGGCGAGGYCGCCCCGCCCCTTTGGAGGAAAGGGGCGTGGCCACGCTGCCCCAGTTTCGCGCCCTTCTCGCTCTACGGCGGCGGCCGCAGACAAAGGGGCGCCTCAGGGGCCGCCGCCATCTTGGGCGCCGAGCGCTGCCCCCGGCCCGGCCCCGGCGGCTCCTCCCGCTGCGGCCCATCCGGTCACCGCCCCGCTCAGGGGACCYGTCCTGTCCCCGCMAACCGGCCCCCGGAGCGGCCGGCCTCCTCCGCGTCCCACGGGGAATGATCCCTTCAGCCGCCTCCTAGTGTTGTCCCACACGCACTTGGGAGAGCCAATGCAACAAAGTTTCCTTACAAAATAAAAGGTTTTCGCTCAGCCCATYTTCTATTGAAATCTTCAAAAGCCCACCCCGAGGTTTGAGGAAGGTGAGAATGCTTTCAGCAGTAAAAGGTTCCGTTTTGAAAGAGGAAACTGGCAAAGCCAAAGACGTGTCTCAGTGAGAGGCTACACAGCTTTGAAAGGCCTAAAAATAAAAACTTTCAGTGTTTCATACAGTAATTACAATCTCACSTAGAAAAGTGTTTGGAAACACTGGAGAGGAGACGCACGTGAAGAAATAGATTGGAGAGGAGGAGATGGATGGGAGGGAACAGCAGTGTGAAGAAAACAGAGGAAGGAAATATGGTAAGGACAGGGTTATGGTGTCACCATGTGTGTCCTGTCCAGAGCCCGGCTGCACGGAAGAAAACCCCTGGAGTACAGAAATCACCACTCTCTGGTGACCAGAGAAAAGGAAAAACAAACCACGGRGTGATGCAAAGAAACCTGCCTGTGATTGCTCTGTGATCACCCATTCCCTGCCACCCAGAGCGTGGAAATAAGGCTTTTCCTCCCTGATTTGTTATKATTCCATTGGGATCTGCAGGAAAAGGGCTGTTTGTACACAGGATATACAATAATTATAAAACCCAGAGGCACCACATTAGTGGTTTTTTTGAGCTTACAGGGCCACAGGGACAGGATGCTGCCACCAAAGTGCTCAAAAGCACATTAAAAAACACCAATATTGATGAYAGACCAAGCCAATATTATTATTTTCCTACCATGAAAAAATGTACTCACTTTCCTAGGCCCAAAGAGGCGAGGAGACTCATCTGCTGTTATTGCAAATTGATTTTTGCCCTTCAAGAGAGGAAAAGATCCCGGCCCTGCAATCACAGGCGCAGCATTTTGATTAAATTAGAGACCCATTAACGTGAGCKTCTCTGGTCCGTGATGAGGGCGGAAAAAAGTGACCTTGATGCACGGAGCCATTTCCCAGCCTGGGATGCTGTGAGAGGAGCAACGCTAACCCTGCTGCAAACCTCGAGGGACAAACAGTGGGATTCACTGGGATTTTACTCCTCAGACATGTACCATGGGATCTGGCTGGGAGCAGCACTGGGAGCAGCCAGGCAGGCAGCTCACCTGGCAGGTTGCACCAGTCTTTAGGGCAGTTAATTAAGCAATGAAACAGCCCAAGATTGACATCTTTAAAGGAAACCTCCTGCAGCAGCRGGGCCCTGGCCAGGGGTCCCAAATAGAGACGCWGAGTTCACTCCTGTGTGAGTTCCARCCCTGAGCACYCRCGGGTGTTTTYYCTGGCTRAGCCSCAGTTTCTGTCACCCAGAGCTGGCTGTGAGCAGGGCTGTGGCTGCAGTGACCCAATATGGCAAAAGTGCCGGCACTTCCTTAGGGAGTGCAAATATCCGCTCCAGAGCGGAGCTCTGTGTGTGTTCAGGTGCAGCCATGGGAAATCGTGAATCACCAGAGGCTGGAAGGACCTCACGGATCACCTGGAGTTGTTTCAAGCAATCCCTCCACACCTGACTGATGTTTTTTTCACCCACTTTKTAAAGCTTTCAAGGGCAGAGGCTGTAGGACCAAACATCCTGTTAATGCAAATCTGATTTCCTGGAAGTGCCGCCCATCCAGCAGCGCAGCAGGGATAGTGCCACATGGAAATGCTGTGGGGGAGCTGTGATCGGAGTTGTGCTGCCCTCCTGCCCCCACCCCGTGCCATTCCCACATCAAAATGAACCTTTCTCCTGCTTCCAGCACATCCCACAGCCGCGCAGCTCCTTTTACAGCGCCAGGGGCTCTTCTCTGGGGGTCCCCACCTTGCTGTGGTGTTTGTAGGGACTTTTCTCAATCTCTGCACTCACAGCCCGTTTCCAGGGCACACAGAATYGCCCAGAGCCATGCAGCAGCCAAGCCCAAACCTGCTCAGCAGCCCCAGCACCTGCTGGAGAGCCAAGGGCAGCCCCCGCCCCGGGCACTGCTCTGATGAGGTTCCCAAATCCCAAAGCAGCTCCTCCGGTGGTGCTGCCGCGGGCCAAGCCTGGGGAGGGGAATGCCCTGGGGGAGGACAGGGCAGTGGGTGCCACTCTCTGTGCTCTGGGGGCTGGGAGGGAACAAAAACATCCAGGCAGCCCCCAASGTTCCTGCCCTTGAGCCTCGGCAAAGCCCCTGGGACCACCCTCCCTGCTGCCAGGCGCGGCGGAGGGGGAGCTCTGCACGCCCCAGCACATCCTGCACGGYGCAAGAGCCGCCTCCTCTGCCTTTGTTTTTGCTGGGATTGCAGGAAAGGAGAGAATRTGAGGCTGGACTGAAGCAGGGTTTATCCCTGAGCCTCCACCCCATTGATCACCAATCCTCTGGCTCCTTCCTGGTTTCCCTGCAAGATCAGTTTATACCACGAGCAGGGAGGTGCCACAGGGAAGGCACACGGAGTTTTCCCAGCACGTTGTCCCTGGCACGGGAGCCCTCACTGTTCCCAGCACGTCTGGCCTTAGACCTGGAAGCAAGGAGCAAAACACCAAACCAGGGCTGGATTAGGGAACTGGCAGTCCCAAAGCGCCCCAGGGAAAAGAATATTCCCTCCTCCCTTACTACTGTCCCTGAGGGAGTTGCTCATCCAGCTTTGCAGTTGGAAAGAAAAGCCCTGACGCAATCCCGCCGTTGCCATGGCGAGGAGCGCGGCCGCTGCGCTTCCCTGTGACCGGGATTTACCGGGTTGTAGGACAAAGCCACGGGGAGCGGGGGGACAGGATCCGCAGGGGTAAGATCCGTAGCGAGTTGGGGAGATCGGATCCACAGAGAGCGGGGGGATGGAACCCACAAAGTGCAGAAGGATCCAGAGGGAGCAGCGGGATCGGATCCACAGCGAAAAGGTGCACGAAATCAGGGTCGGCACATGTTGCCCTGAGGGGGGGTCACAGCAGAGTCGGGATACCCAAATTGGAGAATTAGGAAATGAGCTGAGGTCAGCGGGGATTTGAGATCAGAGATACCGGCACATCCAGCTGGAGTCGGGGGGGATTCAGAGCTGGGAAATGCCGGTGCACTCCTATTGAGGTCAGGGGGGATTCAGGGTTGGGAATGCCGGTGCACCCCGGCTGAGGTGAGGAAAATGGTGAAAATAAGCATGCGGTAACCATGGTAACCATGTAACTGCCTTGGCGCTGAGCAGCAGCTTTATCAGAGCTGGTRCTTCCCAGCTAGGTTATGGAAAAGCAAATCCTGTGTGTCAGACCATTCCTACCTGCCCAAACACAGCCAAATTTAGAAACAACTGCACCAGGCATCTCTGGCAGCGGCCCCATCACCCCTCACGGGCCACACCAAAGTGTTGCTGTRGGATTTTCCCCCTTTTCCTCCAGCTCACCAGCACAACATTCCAGCCACKGTCACACATCAATGCTTTTCCAGCACAGACCCTTCACCTCCCAGCCCTGYCATACTGGAGAGCCCAGCCATGCCATGGGCAACATGGTTCAGGGCAGCAGCACCGTCCCCTCTCTTCCCACGGGATCCAAAACTGTCTGTAAAACCCAGGTGGGGGCTGCCCCAGCTGCTTCCTTGTGGGTGGGCTCTCCCCTACATCTGCCAGGGGTCCCTTGCATGGAGGGCAGCTGCTCTGGTGTGGGAAAAGCAGCRGCAGCAGCAGCGACGTGCARTTTCTCGCTCCCACCTTCCCTCCTGTCACCCTCCCGGCTGCATTAAGGACTCAGCTCGGTTATATAAGCGCTCATTAATCATCATCTAAGAGTATTTGCAGCATTGAGTTCTTAAGGGCAGGAGATGCTACCCAAGGACAGGACAAACAGCCTCTGACCGCCTGACACYGAGCAACCTTGTGGGACAGAGGGCTGGGGACACGGGAGGGGTTTATCACAGTCTGCAGGGCAAAAGCTGCCAGGAATCAGGAACATGGTATCCCTCCCYAGCAAGGGGTAAAGTACACACAGAGGGGGGCCAGCCCAGGTGTTGACGGAAACTGGAGCTTTTCCAAACCCTTTGGGCTCATCCAGGAACTCCCTCAGGCACTGCCTCATGTTGGGGTTTGCTGCCACGATTTGCAGTGGGGCTGGTGGTGTCACAACCCCCCATAATCCCATGTAGGGTGGTGTTTGGTCCAGCTCCCCAGAACCCCGGTGTCCCCCCAAGAGCCCTGTGGCCCCCTTGTTCCCTCTGCTCCTCAGCAAATCGCTGTGTGCTGCTGTTTTCCCTGCAAGGGCACGTGAATCACCTTGAGCCCCACAGCCCTCCCCGAGTGATTTTATTGCCATCGGCACGAGGGCCGGCCCAGCGGAGCGAGCCGGGATCTGCGGGAACAGCCGCGATTGCAGAAATCCCTGAACTGCAGCATCAACGTTTTTTTCCTGCCCAGAAGGTTCCCGCGCCCTCGCATGAGCTCATCCTGCACCGTCCCCTTTCCGCGCCTCCCGTAACCCAACCTCTCCCAGCCCCGCGCCGCAGAGCAGGAATGAGACACGACAGCGGAGCAGATTCTTGGCTCCCTGGGTCACTCTCTCTCCCCGCGCTGCCTCTCGGGAAGCTCCAAGTCATGCGACTCCTACTCCTTTTTTTCCCCTTAAGGTGGGGAAACGAGTCGGGAAAGTTCCCCCGCTCTCCCCCCTCGCGCTGATCCGAATGGGGGCAGGTAGAGGCAGCGTCTGTGCCTCCAGCAGCACCACACCTGCCCTGGGAGCCGGGCGTTCCACAGGGAAGGGCCGGATCCTGGCACTGCGCAGRCTGGTGCCACCCAGCACAGCCGCCCTGAGATGAGGGAGCGATTCCTGGAGCGAGGAGCTTTTTGGGGGGCTTGGGCAATGCTCCTGCCAGAGCATCCAAGACCCCCAGCGCCCATCGGGGTGAGCTGAAGGGGAGCGGGGGCTGAGCTCCCCCCTGCCACATCCCTGGGATGGCAGTGCCACGTAGCCCCGCGCCGCTGGAAATCCTCCTCCCACAATCCCCAAAAGCKCTGGAAGCGGCAGCTGGCTGCTCCCAGCAGCCCGGAGCTGCCCCAGAAAGCTGAGCTCCCCCGGCATCGCTGCCGTGCCGGGAGCTGGACGTGACCTGCTTCCCAACGCAGCGGGATGGAGGATGGGATGGAGCTGCAGGATCCACGCCAGCCCCACGCCCCCGAAAGCAGCGGGGGCCACCAAGAACTGACACCAGCMCTCCCCAGGCTGAGCCGCTTCCCCATGGCTTTAAAAGCCCAGAAAATGCTTCATTCCCTCGCGGYTGCTGCATGACCCCATCCCAACTGGGGGGGGTGCAGGGTGGAGAGGGATTTAATCTTTAACACCATCTCAGAGCCCACTCCCCTTCTCCCTCACACGGGCAGTCCTTCACCCCAGCCCGGGGAGTTCTGCTGTGGGCCGGGGGSTGGCAGAGAGAGCTGCCATTGTTCGGCACCCAGAGGGTCCCRACCGCGGCCCCCCGGCAGCGTCCCACGGGGCCCGGGGTGCTGAGCGCTGCCGTGGCCGTGGCAGCAGAGGGCAGCCACGCTACACGCACCGATCCTGCCCACGCGGCACCGCACGCGTGTGCCCGCACCGCTCACGGGTGTGCCACGGCCACGCTCTGCTCGCTGCCAACCCCGTGCCACCCCGTGTCACCCCGTGTCACCCCGTGCCCTGGGGTCCTGCCCGCGTCCCCCCAGCTCCTGGTTGCAAACGGAGCTGATCCTGGCACCCAGCACCCCTCAGCACCCCACGATCCCACCAGCAGCAGCATCGGGCTCTGCCCACGTCCGCAGGGTTGAACACGTGTGGCCGCGGCAGACGTGGGCTCCCCACGTGGACCCCCAAGTGCAGTGGCCGTGGGTGGCCTGGCCGGGGGTGCAGGGAGAGGCAGGATCTGCCTGGGGACGGGCACTGCCTGCCCGAGTACCTCCAGGCTCACGCAGAGCTGCTCACAGGGTTTAAGCCCGGGGTCTGTGCTGGAGGCAGTGGGTGGTCCCAGAGTTCTGTGCCCCCTCCCCCAGCTCCCCATGTGCACCAGAGCCCCCACCCCACACCCAGCCCAGACCTCCAGCAGCCCCCCCAGTGGGGTCCCACTGCCTGTGCGGTGCAGTCACCAAACACTGCTGGGACCCCCAGCCCCTCCCTGGGGCCGTGCACACACGTGGACACACAAACACAGAACACACATGTGCAGGAACACACACACACTCATGGGTACCTGCACCCCATACCGGTGCAGGGGCTGCTGTCACGTGTGTGTGGGGTCACCTGCCCACTGAGACCCACACGTGCACGATGGCACACCGGGGTGTGACAGTGCTTGCTGAACCCAGCACTGGRCAGGGAGGGTCAGAGGTGGTGGCACTGCGAGGTCCCTCTGTCCCTGAGATCCCCTGTCCCCAAGTGACCGTCTGTGGCATGGTGAACCCCATGCCGCCAGTGCCTCAGTTTCCCTCCTGGCACTGCTGCAAGAAGAACCAGACAGTGCCAAGGGCCCCATGAACCAGTGCTGGGGTCTCTGAGTCCCCACAGTCCTGCACATACAGAGCACACGTCAGTTCTTGCATGTATGTGCACACCCAGACAGGCATGCACACTCAGCACCGGCACCGCACACACGTGTGCAACACACACCTGGGAATTCACGTGTGTACAATGCCACGCGTGGATCCAGCCAGCCCCCCTCTCACCCCGCCGTGGGCCTGGGCCCCTCGGCAGCCCCGCACCCGCTGCGCCCCATTGCAGCGTCGCCGTGGCAACGCTCCAGATTTATCAATGGAGACACTGCGGAAGCGCTCCGGGGGAGGCGGGAGGGAGGGGTGTTCTGTGGGAGCTGGCGGGGGACAGACGGACAGACGGATGGCTGGGGGGGCTGGGGTGCAGGATGGGCTGTCACACTCGCAGAGTGATGCACACGCGTGTGTGGGGGTGCATTGTGCACACACGTGTGTGAGTGGAGCTGAGATGAGCGTGGCTGTGTACTCTGGCTCTTCCTTACACACCTTCCCCAAGGTTTTCCCACCCCCTGGGGTCTGGCGGGGGGCTCTGTGCCCTCTGTGGGCACAGGGAGAGGGTCCTTGGTGTGGCAGCTGTTCCCTGCCTGCATCTCTGCCTGATCTCGTGTCCTTGTGGCTGCTGACAGCAGTGAGGGACACAGCCAGCAGCTCCCAGCTCCAAAGGGGACCAGGGACAATCCAGGAGTGAGGGACCCTGATCGCAGGGAAGTGCCAGGCCAACACGTACCAGGGGTTGCCAGGGCTGCGGGGTTCCCCCTTCCTGGGGAAGTGCTGCTTGTTTCACATGTGGGCCGTGACTCAGGCACCCGACTCTATTCCTGTCCTGTCCCTGACTCAGCATGTGGCTCCAGGCAGGACACGCTCACGCCGGTCCCACAGACTCACCATGGGGAAGGGGAAGCAGCTCAGAGRCTCCTGGAACAGTAACATCCCCACCCAGTGTGGGCTCCTTGCCCTGTCCCCCACAGCAAGGCAGGAGCACTCAGGGCACCTGCACTGACCCCGAGCCCTGCARCCTTCGGCCTCACAGGCTCTCCCTCCTGTCTGAGGCGCCTGGATGCCATGGGGATGGGCACAGCTGCCCACACCCTGCACCCAGCAGGGATCTTCCCTGCAGCTCTTGCAGGAAGGGCTGGAGAGGAGGAGATGGGGATGGGATGGCGGGTTCAYACCAGCTCAGCACTTTCGCAGCTCTCGCCAGCCCCGTCACACCCGGCTCATCACATGCCTGCTCACACCCACCCCCCGCACCCGCCCCGGGCCCCCRGCCAAACCCACAGCAGAACGGGTGGAAAAAAAATCCAGTAAGCGACTGACCGTTTTCCAGCCTCACCACAAAACATTCCTGACGTTCTGGCTGCGTGTGTGCACGAGGTCCCAGGTCACACTCAGATTTGCTGGCAGTGGTGGCACAGTCCCACCAAGGATTGGGGACATGATGGACACTGTGCTGGGACACAGCATCACTCACAGCCCCCCAACAACAAACACACACTGGCTGTGCCCTGGCTGCAGCAGGGCCYGGGGAAGTACTTTTGGGTTGAGAACACACAGAATGGGCTCAGTGATGGGACCTGCAGGTCAAGGGCTGCAGGACAGGATGAGCCAGAGCCAGGCAGGCAGCTGCCACCCCAGAGCTTGCTCCCAGCCCAGCGGGCACAGGGCCAAGCCACAGGGTGCCCAGACAAGCCGGCCATGCTGTGAGCTGGGCAGTTCCCTATGGCTGGGTTTTACACCTGCTGGCCCAAGGAGAGGCTGTGGCACCACCCCAGGTGAGAGTGGACCTTGGAAATCCCCGTATGCCAGAGCCAGGTGCCTGCCCAGCCTCGGCCACTGCAGCTCCTGCAGGAAGGGCAAAAGGCAGSTATTTGGAGATCCCTGCAATCATCAACACCTTTCAGCCTCTGCTCCTCTTCTGGGACCCTCAGGTCTATCCTGCTGGCTGCAGGGCAAGGGTGACCTGTTCATTTGTGTGGTGGCACCGGTGCCGTGCCCACGGTGGGGGATCAATGACCAGGGTGCACCGGCAGCTCCTCGGTGCTGGGGCGCGGAGGAAGCTGCCGGCACAGCTTCACACGGACTCGCCTGTTTGTTTGTTTAACACATGAGTCATTCCCYGATCACGGTGTCCCCGATCAAGGCGTCCCCGTCCCCGTGTCTCCGTGTCCCCGTCCACACCTGCCTGTGCTGATTCACCACYGGCCATGACCCCTCAGTGCCACCTGCCCCAGTCCTACCGAGGGGCTGCAGCCCCACAGCAACACATGGGGTCGGTTCAGGAAGGAAAATGCTGCCGTGCTCAGCAGCTCCTGGGTGAGAGCTGGGGTTAGGGAGGTTTGGCTCAGGGCAGCAGCAGCAGCAGCAGCAGCACCGTGTCGGGTCATGGGTGGTGACGTGGGGCAGGAGGCCACAGGCAGCGTGGGCAGAGTGGGTCAGGGCGAGCTCGGCAGAGCCAGGGTGGCTGCACCAGTCATTGCGAAAGTGAATCTGGYGAGCGGGGCCTGGGAACGGTGAGCAGCGAGGGGGCAGCTGCTGCACCTTGCTCTGACTCACAGAGGCTGCCCGTGCCACGGCACCGCACCTTGGGCACTCGGTGGCACCGCCAGCACAGCGCCCTGGGCACTGCTGTGGCATGGTGCTCCGGGCATCACATGGCACCACTGATCACCTCCCTCTGCAGCCACCTGTCCCCTGCCCAGGTCCACAGTACTTCCTGCATGATCTGTGGCACACCCAGACCCTTGCCCAGCACTGGGCTGGCAGCCAGAGCAGCTGCAGAGCCCGATGCCAGCGGTGGCTGAGCGCCAGGGGCAGGTGGAGCTGCATCCACAGCCCAGATCCATGGCAAACCGGGGCAGGTGGAGCAGCTCCGGCCCCCCGTGCAGAGAGGAGCCCCTCGGGCTGGAGCTCGGGGCAGCACCTGGCACCGCTGCCCGGGGGTGGCACAGCCGGAGCCGCCCCAGACAGCCGGGAAACGTGCCCCAGCCGGAACCCCGCACCCAGCTGGGGCAGGAGCTGGGGCGTGCGCGGTGCCACCCCGAGCCCGGGGCATCCTCCTGCTGCACGCCTGGAGGCACCGCTTCCCAGCGACCCTGCGGTCCCCACGGCCCAGGAAAGGGGCACGTTCCTCTAGAACGGCTCCGAGCAGCCCCACGGGGACCCCCAGCACCCCCACCCGCGTCCCACCGGGACGGCCGCGGGTCCCGCGGGCTCCACGTGGCCGCGATGGCCGGAGCGGCCGGGGGGTGGGGAGCGGCAGGAATCCAGGACTGAGTCACGGCTTCCTCTGCGAGCCCGTGAGTCATCCCGGCAGCGCCAGGCGCCCGGGCCCGGCGTGCGGAGCCCGCGACGCGCACACGGCTGCATGTGAGGGCAACCCCCGCGGGTAGGGGGGCCCTGCACACCCGCCCCGGCCCGGGGATCGGTGCAAACACACACACGGATGGGCCCGAGCACCAACATACGTGTGCATACACACACACACGCGGGCTCTCAACATTTGTGCATGTCCTTCACATGCACAAATTCGGGAGAACCCATCAGTGCAAAGCACAACCATGACAGGATCCGTGCTCAGCCCCATGCCCTGTCACACTGGTATTTTGTTCCCTGGGCTGGAGTACATCTGTGGGGTCACCTGTGGGGCTGGAGCAGCAGCTTTTCCTSCACCTGTGGCTGTGGCTCCTCASTCCCGATGCCCTGGAGAGGAAGAARAGGCCGTGGGGAAGCTTTGTCCAGCTGCAGCTTCCCACTGTGCCCCTGCTGCATGCCAGAGCTTTGTGCCACCACCCACACACTTCCCTGTGCAAACGGTACCCAGGGCACCACATCTGTCCTCCTCACACAGCTACACCTGGGGTGCACAAAAGGATGGCAGCAGGGTCTGCACAACCCCTGCACACACAGCCGTGGGTGCACACGTGTGACCTGCACCCACCCTCACACGCAGGACTGGGACACCCTCTCTGCCAGCTCGCATCTGCTGGCACTCGCTGCACCCCGCCCCTCTGGGGGGGTCCCCAACACTCTGGTGGGTGTGGGGGGAGGAAATTGCACTCTGCAGAGCCGGAACGCAATGCCACGACCACAGAGACGGGGGTGGGGTGGGAGTGTGGGGGGGGGTGGGGACGGAAGGTCAAGGTTGTGCTGCGCCAAGCCCGGCCCACGATGGAAACCGCCGCGGCCGGGCTCCTGCCCCAGCCCGGGGGGACGAAGGGGGGCCGCCCCCGCCTACGTGGCAACCGCTGCCCGGACCTCGGCGGGGCTGAGCCGGCCGGAGACCACCCCCTCCCTTCCCGCCTGCAGCCGTGCGAACGAGGGGACCCCCGGGAGCAGCCCCCCGGGCTATTGTCGCCAGGATCGTCCCCACCCCACACACACAAACAGGGGCACACGGACCCCGGAGCGGCCCCGGCCCCCCCGCGCTCCGGCAGTGCGGTGGGAACGGGAGGGGGGCGTTGCCATGGTAACGGGGCTCCCCGCGCGCCGGGATGAATGGGCCGGGAGCGCGCGCGATCTATGAATGAACGAGCGGGGCCGGGAGCGCGGAAAGCCCGAGACGGAGTACGGAGCGGAGCCCCGCCGCCAGGCCGAGCCCGCCCCCCCCACGAGCTGGAACTCGCGGGGTGCCCGGTGCCGTCCCGCTCCCTGTCCCCCAATCCGGGCCGGGTTTTGCCGCCGCGGCGGGCAGGGGTCCGGCGGGTCGGGGGAAACACCGGGCTCGGATCCGCGGGCAGAGGGGAACGGGGTAGGGACCGACAGTGCCCCCGGCCCGGGACAGCCCCAGACTTCGGCGCCCCGATGGCCGGGGGGCTCCAAAGCTGGACCCTACCTCGTGCACCCCCGGCCTGGGTACCCCAGGGCCGGCCCTGGTCATGGGTGGGAGCTGCACTCCCCAGGGGACCCAGCCCCGGGCTGTCTCCGAGGTACCCAGGACACAGCGGGGGTATCCCGGGGGGAGCCTGAACCCCTCCGTGCCCCTTCCCTGCCAGCCGCGAGGCCCCAGCCCTGCCCAGCCCGCCTTGACCCCCCACCTCCGCCCCTGTAAGCGGTTCCCAGAAGGCAGGATGGGAGGGGGGGCAGGATGGGGGGAGCGGGGCGGGAGGGGGGCACCGCCTCATCTTCCCAGCAGGGTCTGGGTCAGCCCTGGGTGTCACCGTCCCCCAGGACAGCCCGTTCCCAGCACAGGCCAGGGGCGGGGAGGGGGTGGGGAGGGGGCATTCCTGGGCTGCCTGGGGGCTGAGTCACCCCCGGCCACCGCGGCCACCGGCACACGCAGAGACACGCCACGGCCACACACGCAGCGTGTGCACGGAGCAGAACACACAGGGACACACGCGTGTGGTCGGGCACAAGTCCCATACACACACGAGCGTGCAGATTCACGCCGCGCCGCCGCCGCCACCACGCGCTTAGGGACACACGATTGAGCACACGCGGTGACATAAGTGAGAACACGCAGTGACACACAGAGCTTTGGACACGCAGAGTCACAGCATCCACTCTCAGAGACCATGCATACACACATGTGCACACACATGCACACATATGCACACACATGTACACACACACACATATGGATTTGGGAGCGCTGCAGGCACATGCCCCACTCAACCCTCCCCCCGCACAGCACAGCCAAGAGCTGAGCATCCTCCAGCCGTGACCAGCGCATTGTGGGGTCTCTCTGCACCCCGTTCCCGGGTGCTGGAGGCCGGGGGGCTCCGGGAGGGGGCCCGGGAGCCGGTTGGCGGGGGCGTGCGGCCGAGCGTCGCCGGGGCTGCGTCACCGCGCTGACGCACCGTCGCTACCTGTGGGTCCCGCTGCTATAAATAACCCCGCGCACGCCCCATCTGCCGCTCGAACCGTGCGTTGTGCCGGGGAGGGGACACCCCGCTCCGTGCCCCCCGCGMCACCGGGGCGCAGATGGCCCCGTGCCAGCCCCGAAAATCTCAGCGGTGGCCGCGGGTGGCACTGTGCCACCTGGCAGGGCCTGGGCTGGCAGRGCCAGCGTGGACGTCACGAGAGCTCCTCGAGGTCCTCGTAAACACGGTGACGCACCGGCGCTGCCCTCTGGCCCCGTGTCCCCACCAGCCCCTGTTTGCCCTGCCCGGGGACACGGCGTGGGGACGAGACCCCCGTGGAGCTGGGGTCACACAGCGGGTCACCCCTCAACCATGCCATTGTCACCAGGGCCATTTAAGCACCATCCCCCGTGGAGGCCAGCTGGACGGGGGCTGAGCCGCTGCCCCCTCCCACAACAGCTCASCTGAGGGATGCTTTTGGGGGATTCTCCAAAAGGAGGGGACAAGGGGGATTTGGGGTTTTTGTTGCTGGCAAGGGCAACACCAGTGCCGGTTCCCAGTGCAGCTCCTGCGGCTGCTCCGTCCCCGCTGCGACCTCAGCCCCGGCGGGTGGGAGTCCGCGGGGATGGGATGGGATGGGATGGGCTGGCGCCGCGCCCCCGGCCCCGCCGCCCCCGTGATGTCACCGCCCAGACACGCCGGGCTGCACTGGCCGCGGCTCCCGGCCAGACGGGGGGAGCCGGGGAGGCCCCGGGGCCGCGGGGTTGGACAGGACACGGGGGTACCCCCTGCCCCGCGATGGGCTGTGCAAACAACAGCCACGCGTGTCCGGCTGTGCTCCACGCGTGTGCACTGCACACCGGCTGCGTGTGCACTCTCACAACCCAACCCAGGGGTGCTCAGCCTTCCCTCGGGGACCCCCCAGACACCCCCGCAGCCGGGGCTGTGTGCACACATGTGCACGGTGGCTGCGAGCTCCCCGTGCACACGCGTGTGCAAGGGCCCGTGAACACGTGTGGGTCAGTGGGAGGCTGTGGGGAGCGCCGTGGGGCCGCGGCCGGCGGGTGGGGTGAGACATTCCTCACGGCGTTTGTTATTTTATCTGGTTCAAAGTCAGTTCCTGGAATGTTTTTAATTCCAGGATCCATCCCCGCGCCGGCAGCTCCCGGCCCCCCCCGCGGCCGCCTCTGCACCCCACACCGGGACTGCCAACCCACCGCCCGGCCCCACAGCAGCACCGGGGCCCGGTGTGGGGGCTCAGCCCTTCGGGAGCCTCTGCACGCTCAGGGACACACACAGAGCACCCATGGGTGCCCCAGCCTTGCCCGGCACCCCAGAACCAAGCAGCGGGGGGACCGTCTGCAGCCCCACGCGGGGGCCTGGGCTCGCCCCCACCCCACCCGGGACCCCGCTGCGGCAGACGCCGTGTTCCCAACTCGTGCCAGGGACACGCGGCAGCGCGTCGCCCACCCGGCGTCTGGCACCGCCGCGCCAGCCCCGTCTCTCGCCCGCTGCCAGCGCCGGGCGCAGCCGGAGGGATTCCAGGGGGCTCTGGGGCTCCGTGATGTACCCCACTCCACAAAGAACCTGGAGGCGGTCTCTCCATCACCCGGGCACGGGCGCGTTTGCAGGCTGGGGGTGCGGGCAGGCGCTGCGGGGAGGCCGGGTGTGTTTGCGGGGTGCAGGGTGAAATGGGTGGGTGTGCAAAGGCTGGGCGTGCAAGGATTGACGCGCAGCCCCACGCATGCCTGCGCCGGGGTGTGCCCGGCACCGCGGGRCCGCGGCGTGGCCGGTGCCGTGGGCGTGCGCGGGGCCCGCGGGTGTGCCGGGAGCCCTGCGAGCTGTGGGTGTTTCCTGGCGCACCCTCTGCGGCAAGGGCTGGGCACAGGGACAAGGGGGGCAGCCGGTCCAGCTGTCCCCACCCACCGGCAGTGGGTGCTTGGACACACACACCTGTGCACGGACACGCCTGCCCGGTGACACCCACGCTGTCCCCACAGCGGCCACCGCAACACAGGCACAACGCTGGTGCTGTGGATTGCTCCATACTGGGAGCACTGGGATGAGCCAGCCTGGCAGCCCCGGGATGAGGGCAGCGAGGAGGAGGATCCAGGATGGGCGTGAACCACCCCGGACACCTGGGCTGGGCAGTGAGGGGGGCTCTGTGCCCAGCCCCGTGTTATCAGCAGCATCTGGGGGCCCTGGGCGTGCTGATGTCACCCCATGATGTGGCACCCCGTGTCCCGGCGTGCTCTGCCGTGCCACAGACACCTCCCACGCCTGCCTGGTCCGTCCTGTGCCGTCTGGTGYCATGCCACGGCTTGGGGGCCAGGTCTGTGCCACCTCACACCCTGCAGCACCCCCGGGACCCCCAAACCCTGAGCTGAGCCCAGAGGAAGGAAAGCAGCTGTTGGGGACCCCCCGAGGATGGAGCGGGGGTGTCCCCAGGACAGCACCCGCAGGAGGACTGTGTGAGTGTCCCCTCCCCGCGCTGGCGCTGTCMCTGTCCCTGTCCCTGCGCRCACACGCGTGTGCGTGTCCCCCGYGTGCCCTCCCAGCAGCGATTGCCTTACAAGGCTTCCGTGTTGCTCCTGCCGCGGTCGGCGGCTCTTCCCTTTGCCAAATTTGGCACGGGCCAGAGGTGTCGGGGGGGGTCCGGGGGCTGTCGAGGGGGGGGCCCGAGGTCTGTTCTACCCGAAATGACGTCAAAGCGGGGCGCGGGGTGCCCGGTGCGGCACAAGTCACCGCAGGAACCTGAGCTGCTTCCGTTCCCGCCCGGCTTCCTCCGGCGCTCGGTTGCTCCTGCGGGGTTCAGGGTCCGGCCAGCCCCACTCAGCCCCACACTGGGCCCCCGGTGATCCCCACGGGAAGAGCCGCTGGCCTCCGATCCTATCTGGGCGGTGCTGAGTGCCTCGTGGATCTCCGGTTTGTTCCCTGTCCCCCAGTCCCTGGGGTGCAGGGACAAAGCTGTGACACGGCAAAGGGGACATGGGCAGCCACTGGTGCCCCACTCCCCAAAGAACAGCCCCCCAGCTCAGCGCCCAAAGAGGAGTCACCCCGCTCCAGGTGTGCCCGGAGGTAGCAGTGTCACCGTGTGGGGGTGTCCCAGCCCACAGTGTCCCCCCACCGCCATCAACACCCCGACCCCCCAATCTCCATCTTCCTTCCAGAGACCCTGGGGGCTGCACTAGGAGGGTTGCATGGGTGGGACGGTGCTGACACACACATCCCCTGGGCCACCCCCACCCCATGACCTTCCCCGGGGCATCTMCAGGCGGGGAAACTGAGGCACGGCCGCATTCACGGCCGCCAACCCCCCCGCCCCGGCCCGCGGCCACCCCGGAGTGACGCAGGAAGGAGGGAGCTGGCAAAGAGCTGGCACTCACGGCCAGCCCGGCTGGTGCAACCGGCCCAGCTCCTCCAGGCAGTGCCCGGTGGGACCAGACCGGGAGCACCCAGTCGGATCAGCACCCACGGGCCGGGGTCTGGCACCTGGAGAGGGCTGAAAACACCCCAAGGGGCAGCTCCATCACCCCCCTCCTTCCTCCTGCAGATACACACAGCTACAGATCCCCCTGACACTGACAGAGTGCCCAAATGTTCCCCCTGTGACCCCCACATTGACACCAGACACTGTTGCATCCAGACTGCCCAAATTTATTTCAAAAATAAAAAATAAAATATTAAAGACCAAAAAAGCCTCGCTCTCCCCCCGCCCCCCTTTTCCCCAAAAACACACACAAAAAAAAAAAAAAAAAAAAAAAAAAAAAAAAAAAAAAAAAAAAAAAAAAAAAAAAAAAAAAAAAAAAAAAAAAAGACTTTTACAGACAAAAAACACGTCACGTGGGGGCTCTATTTGCACAGATCCTGACGGAAAAAAATCCAAGTCGGACAAGAAAAAGGATCCTACGGCCTATGAAGACTATGTCAGTATTGGCTCAGTCGGGTCATTAATGTCTATAAATACCGGCCCCGCGGCCGGGACCGAGTTTGGGGTTATTTATTCAGGTTTTTTTT